GCCTCGGCCTCAGCCTCAGCCTGCCTCAGCCTCGGCCTGCCTCAGCCTCAGCCTCAGCCTCAGCCTGCCTCAGCATCAGCCTGCCTCAGCCGCAGCCTCAGCCTGCCTCTGCCTCAGCCTCAGCCTCAATCTGCCTTCAGCCTCGGCTTCAGTCTCAGCCTGCCTCTGCCTCAGCCTGCATCAGCCTCAGCCTCAGCCTGCCTCAGCCTCAGCCTGCCTCAGCCTCAGCCTCAGCCTCAGCCTGCCTCAGCCTCAGCCTCAGCCTGCTTCAGCCTCAGCCTCAGTCTGCCTTCAGCCTCGGCCTCAGCCTCAGCCTGCCTCAGCCTCAGCCTGCATCAGCCTCAGCCTCAGCCTCAGCCTGCCTCAGCATCAGCCTGCCTCAGCCTCAGCCTCAGCCTCAGCCTCAGCCTCTGCTTCAGCCTCAGCCTCAATCTGCCTTCAGCCTCGGCTTCAGTCTCAGCCTGCCTCAGCCTCAGCCTGCATCAGCCTCAGCCTCAGCCTCAGCCTGCCTCAGCCTCAGCCTGCATCAGCCTCAGCCTGCTTCAGCCTCAGCCTCAGCCTGCATCAGCCTCAGCCTGAGTCTGCCTTCAGCTTCGGCCTCAGCCTCAGCCTGCCTCAGCCTGCCTCAGCCTCAGCATCAGCCTGCCTCAGCATTCAAAATGTGGCCAGGGAATGGAATTCTGGAACTCGAAGAACACGAAGTGACAGATTCAACCCAGGACTGGGAGCACGAGTGGCCTACAGAAATGTGGCCCGCTGGCTCGAAGACCACGAAGTGGCCTACAGTTGGCTCCGGGCATCCAAAATGTGGGGAATGGAGTTCTGGGAACTCGAAGACCACGAAGTGGCCTACAGTTGGCTCCGGGCATTCAAAATCATGGCCCAGGAATGGAGTTCTGGGAAGTCCAAGAGCACGAAGTGGCCTACAGTTGGCTCCGGCATCCAAAAATGTGGCCCGGGAATGGAGTTCTGGGAACTCGAAGACACGAAGTGGCCTACAGTTGGCTCCGGGCATCAAAATGTGGCCCGGGAATGGAGTTCTGGGAACTCGAAGACCACGAAGTGGCCTACAGTTGGCTCCGGGCATTCAGAATGTGGCCCGGGAATGGAGTTCTGGGAGGTCGAAGAATGGAGTTCTGGGAGGTCGAAGAGCACGAAGTGTTTGACTGTTTGCGAAAAACGAGGTTCCCCCGCAATCCCCAACGGCCCCCCAACGGCCCCCCAACGGCTCCCCAACGGCTGCCCAGACCCCCCTGTGGAGTAATGTGCTGCTCTCTTTTTACACCACTAGAAACCTATCAGTCTTCGCTGTTAGGTAAAAAAAGGGGCTTCGTTCCTTCTTTAGCGTTCCTTCTGGCAGGGGCCTGACTGTAGGGGAACAAATTATGACACACACACAGAACTCGGAGGTCCGCGCGGATATCTCGGATGTGCGCTGTGCCCTCCGCCCTGGCGCGCGGAGCGCGCCAGGGGCAGCACTGGAGGCGCCGCCGGGGGGGCTCCAGCGCCGATCCGAGGAATCTGCGCCCGGCGAGTGTCAAGTCGGGCCTGTCCCTCTACAGGAGGAGTGTTCAAACATCGACAGATCATCGTCTGGGGACGATCTTTTGACCGTGTCTGACTGCTCTTCTGATTTTCTGACCATGACATGCCCGACCCAGTCCGAGTGCTTCTGCTTGTGCCACTGCGTGTTCCCCTGACGCGGGCGCGGAAGTGCAGGAGACCTCATGTGCATGCGCGCCGCACGTCAGATGGGGGGCCAAGCGCGCGGTCAAAAAACCGCTGGAGTGTGGACCGCTCTGGGCTCAGGGGCCCCAGTTGCCGGGCCGCTCCTCCTCCTCCTCCTCCTCCTCCTCCTCCTCCTCCTCCTCCTCCCTCCTCCTCCTCCTCCTCATCCTCCTCTCCTCCTCCTCCTCCTCCTCCTCCTCCTCCTCCTCCTCCTCCTCCTCCTCCTCCTCCTCCTCCTCCTCCTCCTCCTCCTCGCTCCGGGAGGAATTTTCAAAAATGGTACAACATAGTCTGGGGACGATTGTCGCAGGCCTGGGGGTAGACACCAACACCAAGATCGGCGGTGCTCCTCCACCGAGGGAAGAGGATCCCGATCTCTCGGTGATGGTGGTAATGTTCTGGCTGCCGAGGTGGCCGAAATATATTGCCACCGACACCGAGATCTAGGATCACCTCCCCCCTGTGGAGGCAGCCCTCTGTCTTGGTGTTGGTGCCCATTTCCAGGCCTCCCAGATTGTTGGATTTTTTTGTTGGGGGGCTATTTTCTAGATCGGACCAGGTCGGGCCGCTCCTCGGACGAGGTCGGGGGACCTATCTTTCAGTTGGGCATGTGCCTGTACAGGAGGAGTGTTCAAACATGGTACAGCATAGTCTGGGGACGGTAGCTGGATTTTTTTTTTGGGGGGGGGGGCTCTTTTTTTGGAGTACGTTTCTGGGCCACTTCCATTCTCCCTTTTGTCTTCCAGAGTCCGCCTGTGGGAGGACGTGCTGCCCTTCACCCGGGGGCGGCGGCGCGGTCGCGCGGGCAGTCGCGCGTCGCGCGCCGCGGGGGCGCGGTGCGCGAAGCTGGCTGGCTCGGGTTCCCCCCCGTGTCTCAGTGCTCCTCGCAGCACAGTGGAGGCCCCTGCCGAGGAGCACCCTGCTTGCCTGCAGGGTGCCCCGGGTCTCTTGGGTCTCGATGGCCTCGCGGGGGGAAGCGGCCGAACATCAGTGGACGTTTTGGGGTCTCTGGCTTGGGCTTCTCGTGGAGGGTTTCTCTTGCGGTCGGGCCTCCGCCGTGCTGCCCGCCGTGCCTCGCCGCGGCCGCGTGCGTCCCACGGCTGCCTCGGGGCGCGGCTGGGACCCCTCGGCGCTGCGGCGGAAAGGGCCCTTCGGGGTGGCGCGATGGTGATCGTTCTCTTACTCATTGTTTTGCCGATCGGCGCGAACCCTCGTGCCCCCCCCCCATGGAGTGTGGATCGTGGCTGTTTTTGGCGCCTGTCTCAGGCAGGTGGGGTCTCCACCACAGGACGCACTGTTGCAAACAGTCGCATGCGGCAGAGGTCCGGAGCCAGACCCCCCCCTCCCCCCTCCCGTTCTCGCCCAATGTCGAAAGGACGACTATGACAACGATCACATGGCTGCACAGATGCAGATCACCCTCTCTGGCTTTCGCCTTTTTGGGGGGCCTCCCTCCGAAGCGCCCCTGGCGGCGGGGCCCGCGCGGACTCCCCGCCGCGCGGGGGCGGCATCTCTGGGTCGCGGAGGCAGTACACCTTAGGCGATGTTTAAGAAAACTTAAGTTTTCGGCCAGAGTATCGATTATTCTTAACGTTTCAATGTAAATCCTAAGATTTCAATCGAAATTCTGGGTTTGTAATCAAATTCTGAGACTATGAATTTCTTAACCGATGATTTCTTAAGCATTTCGCAGGGTGTATCAGCGATCACGCAGGCGTCGTGATACCAGAAGGAACGCCATGTGAGCCCCTTCGGGCTTTGGGAAATGCTCGCCTGCGGCACGCCCGTCTTCTCTCTCTCCGGCCACGGCCCGCTGCAGGAGTTTGTGCCTGTCGCGGGTCGGCTCCTGCGAGGTTCCCGGTTTGCCCAGCGAGTCCACGCCACCCGGCATGTTTGCCTGGGACGGAAACAGGAGCCTAGGCGCCGCGTAATGGGGGGATCATAAAATGGGGGGGGGGGGCGAGCGTGGTCCGAAAAGGTACCCAAAGGGTCCCTAAACGAGCCCCCATGGGGCTCTGGAGGGGCCCGAAGAGGGCACGAAAGGGGACCTTTTCTGACCCCCCCCCATTTGTGACCCCCCCATTGAGCCACGCCCGAGGAGCGCCAGACTGGGGACGCTGGGGCCTTCTCCTGGGCCACGGCGGGCCTCGGCCACGAGCAGCTCCCCCGACGCCGGTCCAGGGAGATGCCCGGCAAGCAGGGCCCCTCGTGAGCCCACGGCGGCCCTTCTTTCGGCACTTTTGACGGTCGTGTCGACGCGATCAGGCACCATCCAGAGGATCACCACCCACCAAACCACCCCAACCCAACCCGAAGGCTCAGATTTACCCTCGATTTCTAGTAGGGGGGGGTCGGGAAACATCGAGAAAACACGCGTGGAACCCGTACCCCCCCCAACCCGAAATTCGGGTCTTCGGGTTGGGTTGGGGTGGTCTGGCAGGTAGTCAGAGGAGCAAGAGGTCGTGATAATCATACGTTCCTAGATTCCAGAGGTGTCCATGCATTTCACGTCTCCCCGCTGTTCCGCACGGGCCGCAGAAACGAGGGTCGCCGGATACTCTGGAACTGCTGGAACGCATCCTGAACTAATCGTAGCATGGCGTCATTCCCGTCCTCGTAACAGGACAGGCCGCCCTCAGAGGAGAAACGCACACCGATACCGATGCAATTTCCCCTCGTCTTCGCCCTTCCGGGCTTGCTGCGGGCCCTCGTCGCCACGGCTGGATCCGCCTCGAAATTCTGGTCAGAACGCACCCTGGGAGAGGTCAGTGGTCTGTTTCCGCAGTTCAGTGGGAGAACGTATCCTCATCGGTCTGTTTCTGCAGTCTGGGGAATCATACGTAAGAGTCTGCCCGTTCATCTCGCCATGCTCTCCATGCTCGGAGATAGCTCCCACAACGAGCCGTCTCCCGTGACCAGGCAGGTGGAGGTGGGAGCTTTTCCCTGCCCCCCGCGATCGCGTGGGATGGGGGCGAGGGCAGGGATGCGGCGCAGAGAGGGATGGCAGGGAGGAGGGGCATGGAGAGGTGGGCGGTGGGGGCTGGGGGCGACGGCCTGGAGGAGCGGCCTGGGGAGGCGTGGCGGGGAGGGAGGGGTAGGAGGGGAGGGGTGGATGGGGTGGAGGGAGGGGATGGGGTGGAGGACGCCATTTGCCGGCCGAGGGTCCGGGGGAAGCGCCCCGCGCTGGCCGCGGTGGGCCAGCGCGGGAGCCGCGCGCGGCGGGGCGCGGCGGGCGCCACGGCCCCGCCTCCCCCCCGGGGCCCGGGAGGGAGGGATGGTGACCATTGGGCACTACAAGGTGGGGCAGACCCTGGGCGTGGGGACCTTCGGCAAGGTGAAGATGGCGGACCACTCGACGACGGGGCAGAAGGTCGCGATAAAGATCATCAACAAGAAGAAGATGAGCCAGATGAGCGGGAACATGACCGAGAAGATCCGGCGGGAGATCACCATCCTGCAGTGTCTTAGGCATCCGCACGTGATCCGGCTATACGAACTTATTGACACCCCGACCGACATCTTCATGGTTATGGAGTATGTCTCGGGAGGAGAGCTGTTTGATTACATCGTGCACAAACTGAGGCTCAGCGAGGGCGAGGCGAGACGCTTCTTCCAGCAGATCCTTTCTGGCGTGGAGTACTGCCACCAGTGCATGGTGACGCATCGGGACCTGAAGCCCGAGAATCTCCTCCTCGACAACAACCTCCACATCAAGATCGCAGACTTTGGCCTCTCCAACGTGATGCGAGACGGGGAGTTCCTGAAGACGTCCTGCGGCTCCCCGAACTACGCCTCGCCCGAGGTGGTGTCGGGGAAGGCCTACGTCGGGCCGGAGGTGGACGTCTGGTCGTGCGGCGTGGTGCTCTACGCGCTCCTCTGCGGCAACCTCCCCTTCGACGACGAGTGCGTCCCCAATCTCTTCCGGAAGATTCGACAGGCTCGCGCCGTTCCGCCAGCCCCCAGAGAGTGAGGGAGAGGGATCGACGACGACGACGACGACGACGATCGTCGACGACGACGATGGACATGGACCCCCAGAAGCGGATGACATGGACGACGACGATCGGATTTGGGACCCGTGGGAGGGGGCAAGGGGGAGGGGGACAGCCAGGTATCTTACGCGCCTTGTCACCCCTGGCAAGCGTGGGTCGGCGGATCAAGCACGGCAATTTCACTCTCCCGGGGCACTTGACCAGCGAGGCCAAGGACCTCATCGTGACCATGCTCGTCGTGGATCCGACGAGGCGAATCACGTTCTCCCAGATCAGGAGGCACAGCTGGTTTCGCAAGGACCTCCCAGATTACCTTGCGGGCCCGCTGCGGAAAGCCAACCCCAAGAACGAGAGCTTCAACCCGGCAATAGTACAGCAGCTCATAAATATAGGCATGACCATAGAGGACCCCGACAATCTGACCAGCGAGCAGATCGTCGCCTACCACCTGCTGTCAGACACGGCGTCGAAGCAGAGCTCCTTCTCCAACCTCCTGCGTGACGGCGCCATGCACGACACGAAGCTGTACACCGACGCGGAGATCTCGAAGATAGCCCAGCTGTTTGAGCAAGAGGGCTCGGCGCCGCTCTCGACCAAGCTGATGCCGACCCAGGACGAGCGCAGGGTCATCATCAGCCAGGCGCCCGCGGCGTCCGAGTGTCCCTGGCAGCTGGGCGTCGAGGTGACCATGGAGGCGGCTCTGCTGATAACGGAGATGCTCGTAATCCTGCGCAAGCGCGGCTACGAGTGGTCCCAGCTGACGCCGTGGAGGGTGAGGGCGCGGCCGCTGCTGCGCAGCGGGAACCAGCTCGGCTTTGTGCTGACCCTCCAGGTCTACAAGCTGGCCGCCGGCCGCTACCTGATAGACACCATGGCCTCGCAGGGGCCCACCCTCCCAGCGCTGCACGCCGCGCTGGACCTCCTGAGATGTTTTGTGGAGAGCGAGGCCATCGCGCCCCATATCGTGGAGAAGTCTGCCGGCGGGCTTCTGGCAGGGCATGTGCGCGGCAGATGACAGGTGATGCCATCAGAAGAAGAGACAATTGCATGCACAGAAACTTTCGGAGCTCTGGGGGTGGATTTTTCTTGGATCTGCGCTGGACGCCCCTGGCGGCGCCTCCGACGCCGCCCCTGGTGCGCTCAGCGCGCCAGGGACGGAAGTTCAGCGCAGATCGAAGAAATTCGAACGGAACTCCGACATTTATGTGTATGCAGTTGATCTTCCTCCAGCTATGGATGCTGTCTCTTCTCACTGTCTCGTTTCACCTGTGACTTGCCTTGGTGTTACCCAGTTGCCTGCGGCAGGTCCCGCCTCAATGCCAGGCCTGCACCCTGGGTGGCCACGTTGGCGATTGGCAGGGAGCCGTGCCGCATGTCGTGTCGAGTCCCGAGGCTTGGGAGAACCGTAGCATGCGACATGGTTCTCCGCGTCGTGCCGGTGCGACATGAATATGACAATGAATGTGGTGACTGTGATGGTGATGGTGATGGTGGTGATGCTGCTGACGCTGCTGATGCTGCTGATGATGCTGCTGATGGTACTGATGATGAGACCAATGATAACGACGGCGACGACGACGACGATGAACACGATGCTGCTGATGATGATGTCGATGGTGGGATAAATGAGGCCGACGACGATGCTGATGATGATGACGATGACGTTGCCACCAGCGATGATGATAATTACTGAGGATGATGATGGTGATGATGATGATGCTGATGACGATGACGATGATGTGGATTATCATGATGCGGAGGAGGAGGAGGAGGAGGATTTTCGTCGACGAGGGGGATGACTCATATGCTGATTCTACAGGCTTGCGCCACATCCGCCGACCCCTTGTATTCCTTGTGATAGCAGCGCGAAATCGTCAAGCATCATTAGTCGTTTTCTCTCGTCTTGCAATGTCTGGTCCCTGCAGCGCGGCATTCAATGCAGCTTACCTTTCGTCTATAGCCTTCGTTTAGGATGCAATATCTTATGATAGCATTCAGTGCAGCTTAACTTATGGTTGTCTTACTTTGAGATGCAAGGGGCTGGGCTCCGGCCCGCCCGCGCCGCCCCTAAGGGGCCTGCCAGCCCGTGAGGCGTTTTCCCACAATCGGGGAAGCACGGGAGACCTTCTGAGAGTTATCGGTGAAACTCTCACCACAATTTGGAAGACCTGGTCAGCTCCCCGTCAGGCGTTTTTCCGCAATCGGGGAAGCATGCAAGACCTTCTGAGAGTTATCGGTTTAGCCCTCAGCATTCGAGAAAACTGGACGTCCCAAATGGTCCGAAGACGGTTCAAGAGGGCCCCAAGACAGTCCAAAAGAACCCCTAAAAGGCCCCAAGAGGACGGCCCAGAAGACCCAGGGCAAATAAAGAGTGATCGGTAACGCAGAGAGCTCATCACGCCAAGGCTCCCAACGGCGAAAGCGGGGAGAGACGGCTTTATCCCGATACCGTCAAGACGGCCGAAGAGGGCCTTCTCTTGGCGGCCTGTTGGGGCTCTCTTGGCGGCCTCTAGGGGCTTTCTTGGGAAGCTCGTGGTGCTTTCTTAGGCCTCTCTCGGTGTCGTCTTGAGGCCCTCTCGGGCCGTCCTGGGGACCTCTTGGCCAGCCACCAACAGGCTTCCAAGAGGTCCGCTCCCAAGAGGCCGAGGCGGAAGGGGTGGAGGGGGAAGGGGGGATGGATGGGGAATGAGGCAGAGGGGGAGTAGGAGG